GATTGAATTTTTTTTAATATTTATTCATTTTTATTCTTTTTTTATTCTATTAAATTTAAAAAGAATTAATGCCTAATTTAAAAATACTATTTGATTATTGAAAAAATGTGAATTATAGAGACTTGATTAATACAAATATAGCTAATATAAATTTAAATATTTAATTATTAATATAATTTTTTAATTTAATCAATGGAACCTCAAATGATGATGAATAAATAGGAGAACACTATAACCAAGAATAAGAATTGTTTGTAGGTGAAGGACAGGCTACACTTATTTAACTAGTATAAAAAAGAAAAGAAAATGAGGGAGAAGTATCTAAATTTCTAGTTAAAATTTATAGATTTATAGATTCTTAATTAATGTAAGCCTCCTGACCTTTACTATTCATAAGATTTGATCTTAAATTTAGACAAAAAAATTAAATGAATAAAGTCAGCTTAAAATTTTCAAAGAAAAGGTTTTTGTGTTAGATTTATTTTTTGAAAGTCAAAAATAAGTTCTATAGATTTAATAAAAGTCAAAAGATCAAATAACTATATTTGAGTAGTAATATAAGCAGTTAATCTTCAATATAAATCTGTATTTGCTGAATAATTTATCTCTCCCTCCAATGTAAAATTTTCTTAATATCTCATAATAATAATTGATTTATACAGTAATAAACCATAATAAAGTATGTTAAATTAATCCTTAATGATTAGGAATGTTCTAAATCAAGTTTTAGAAATGATATTGAAAAAATACATAAATTGTTCCTTTATTTGATAATAAGGAGAAATGTGAAAGCTCTTTCATAATTAATAAGTTCAATATCTCCTCATTTCTTTATTTTTATTATTATTATTATTTAAAAGACTTACTTAAATAGAATATTAATTTATTAATTTTATTTAAATTAGTTGAGTTTAAAAGGATTTTTTTCTCTTAAAACAAATATTTCATTATATATGCAAACTCATTCATCTTAAGCGTTATATTTAATTATAACTATACTAATATTTAATCATAATATTACAACTAGTATTTTAATATATAAAATTAATTTTATAATTAAAAAAAATATTATTATTTCTGAAATACTAACTTTTTATAATTGTCCATATCATGATACTTATTTAAAATAAGGATTTATTACCAAAGATTAGTGTTTTATTAGGTATTTTTTATAAAAAACAGAACTTTAAATTTCAAAATTCTGGCAAAATTTATATAATAATTTATTTAAGTATGAGAATTATTAAAATAATTTATATTATTATTAAGAATGTTTCATTTATAAATATAGATTCAAATGATTCTAATTGTAATATTTTTTTCGTTTAATTAATATCTAATAATAAGGATAATCATTTACTTAAAATTCAAACGATATATTTTCCCTTAATTTTGCCTTTAATGAGTGACTAAAACATAAATTGTAAGCTCTTTATTCCTCAAGTTTTATCAACATAATGTAAATTCATTTTTAAAGTCAAAATCAGTGTCTGAATTATAATCAGATAACATCCATAAGGATAGGGGACTTAGTCTTATCCTTTCTAGGCTTAGTTCAAACTAGTCATTTTTGAATGAACTATAAGTTTGAGCATCTCTGATTTATTTTTTTTCTTTTTTTGATAATTTTATTATGACGAATTCATTATTACTTTAATTTACTAGATTCTAATAAATTATTTATCTTTTTTGAATTTATAGGAGGCAAAACTGGTGGAATAAAACTACTCTGCTCCACTGTTCCAATTTATCAAAGTTTTGATTGAATAAATGCTACTATATACGAGCATCTTTGCCTTCTCCACAACGAGTCTTGAATTTCTCACTTGGATTTTAGTAGAGAATTCTGATTTAAATAAAATTAAAATATAAATGAGTTTATAGCAGATAAAAGTAATAATCATAAACTGAATATGAGAGAGAAGCATGAGACAAGAAATATGATTCTCTATTACCCAAAATCTCTTCAAATTATTTAAGCATAAATTTTTGGAATGTCAATTTTCATAAAGAAATCCATTATCAACGATTATTATCACGATCAATTTCTCTCATTTCTTCTAAGTGATAATAGTACAAAATTCAAGAATTATGGCTATTTAAGCAGAAATGGTCAATTAAATACAAGAAGTGTATTTAAAAATACTTGAAGGAAAAAATGATTGAAAAATACTAATTGGAAAAATTTTAAGATCAATTAAGATAATGCTTAAGAATGGATCTAATCAAAAGTATTGGTTGAAAGTTTTGTAAATTTTTATTATAAGGAAATAAAAGTATATAATTTACACTACTATCCCATTTGTTTTTGAGAATATACTTTTTCAACTTTTATTGAAGTATTGGAATTAGATTAACAACAAATAAGTGAAATAGATGGAGAATGAATAAATTTAAGATTCAGCTGAGAATATATTCAAAATTTTTAAGATGCAAATTGATTATTTGCCAAATTAATCTTTCTTTAAAGTGTACTTCTAATTTTTTCTTATTTAAATAGATAGTTTTAATTTTAATATTAGTTTCATACTTGATTATTTTAGAAATGCTTTTTAGAGTTCTTGTTAGGATATTTAAGAATTATTTCGATCTTCAGATGTGAAAAGGATAACATTGGATCTTATGTATGATTTTAAGTTGGATGTAATTAATGATGCCAAACCATTTATTTAATTATTTATACATGATTTGAATGTCTTTTTGCTTCTGATTATAAAAAATAGTAAATTTTGAATTAAGTATTGATGATTATCTAATTAGTTTTATTTTTATTACTTGATATTTTAATACCAAATTAATCAATTATTTGTTTAGTTCTATTAGCTAAGTCTTGCATTGGGAATAAATTTTCTAAAGGCTAATCCTTTTAATATAATAAAATTTATGTTTGATTGTGCTTTAATTGATAATTACTCTTAACTACCATACAAATGAAAATCAACATCAACTTATTATTACTTTTTAAAATAAACTAGAGCAAATTTATATTCTTTTAAAAATTTTATTGAGATAATAATAAAAATCAGTCTCAATAATAGAAAATCATCAATAAATGAAATAATATATAATTTAATTATAGAATATCTATTACTTGATTTCGCAATCCAATTTAGGATTATCAAAAATCAAATTTAAATGGATGAATTCTAAATCTCACAGATTTTTGAAAATTCAGAATGAAACTTGAAATTTTTATTGGTATTGATAACCGAATATCTAATTTGGTTTTAGTTCCTATTCTTGTTTGAGTTTTTATGAAAGCTAAGTATTAGAAGATATAATTTATTTGTATAAAATAATTATCCATCATTTAAATAACAACTTTTTCTCAAATGGCATAGTTAAAAACTTATTAAAATGAGCTAGTACATCATAATTTAATTTTTCTTTTCAATTTTGTAATTATTTTAGATCCTTAAAATAATTAATCAAATAATAATAAAGGAAAGGGATACATAAATTGATATTTATGCAACTTTTATTAAGTTTAATTGTTATGATATTTTCTTGGCATATTTATAAATTAATCATAAATAAACAACTTACATCCTTCATTATTTTCACTTTCTAACACTAATTTTAAATATTTCTAATTGAGGATGGAAAATAGAGAAAAATCATGTAGCCTAAAAATAAAAGGAAAATGAGTTTATAAATCAAATAAATTTACTTTAGATATATTTAAATTGATGTTAAAGTTTATTATAGATTTTTATTTAAATTTTTCAAAACAACCAGTATTTAGAATAATCATTTATATTTAAAAATAATATCCACTTCAAGTTTAAGGATTATTTTTGATAAATCTTTTTGATATTATCATATCATTTATTAGATATCATATATGTATTAGAGTAAAAAAACTGAAACCATTAGATTAAGAAAATTAAATAATTATCAATCTTAAACGAACTTTATTGAACCGAAGATACCAAAATCCATTGGATGAACCTATGGAAATTTCTAAACTTCAGATAGAGAAGACGATGATGTGTATATGAATGAATGAATACTCTTTTAAAGCCTTTTCAGAATTTACTTTTGATTTAATAATGAAGACTATAAAAAATCCAATTAGAAAATAGAGACATATAATAATTATATAAAAAATTATAAAATTGAACATTAATTATTAAAAATTAAAAAATTTTTGTTAATACTTGAATCATAGATTTAAAAAAATGATTTCCATATTGCTTTATCTATTTTTCACTGAATTTTGAAAAAAATTAATATAATTATTAAAATTTAGAAGCATTTAGACCAGAATTTACCCTATTACAGTATTTTTAAGCTTTCCTAAATCATTAAAAATTGTTAATAAATTTTAGATATTAGGAATAAGTCTATAATTTATATATTATATAAGAACACTTACGGTCTTAAGATTTCTGTATTTTCATTTTGATTCTTTAATGTAAATCCCAATGATGATAGATTTTCACTTCCGAATTTCAGAAAAGATATAAAAGTACTATGAATTAAAAAGTAGAGTTAATATTATAATTTTATTATATATTCTAATATGAAATATTCTAATTAAATTCAAAAAGTTTATGCATTTATCCTGATTATAGAATTTGGACGAATTTATGATTAATATTTGATTAAATTTGAAAATTAAGTTAGATAGCTTATTATTTGCAATTTAAGATAAAGTTATTTATTTATATATGTCATTTATTGTTGATTGTCGGTGGTCAAAAAAGATTAATCAAGTCGACACTTGCTTATTCCTTGCAGAAATGGTGAAGCGCATTTTGGAAGAGATATATACAAACTCCTTTGCTCCAGTTTTAGTTGAATTCTCCTTCCTAGTAGTTAAGAGAAAACATTTTCTTGCAGAATTATATGCTAAATAGGTCTACCTCATATTGTTATTCAATCAAAAATATCCATGTTTAGTTATCAGTAGAACAAATGAACATAAATATTTCCCAGAAGTCATTCTTGGGTATCCTATAGGTATTTATATTACTGTCTGCTAAGATTGTGTTTTCAATCTTATAGATATTCTAGTCTTAACTTTATCTATCATATGCTTAGGTAATCCTTTCATCTGTTTTTAGGTCGTAAAGTACCCACATGTTCTTTGCCTTAGTGAATTGACCATCAAATTGTAATTATTTGACACAGTTATCTCTCATATCTTTCTTTATCATTTAGCAAAATTGCTGCATAAATTGTTCCTTGGTATTATTCTTCATATTCAAATTAATGAGGACTTATCTTTGATAATTCAGATAGTTTATAATTTTAAATAAGAGTAGGGGTTTGAAGACATTGTTACAGAAAGTCTATGTTGTTTATGAAATTGAGTTTATTGTCCCTTATCCTAAACACCAAGTTCATGATCATAAGATATGGATTGGATACTTCAGGTCCATAGTTAAATAAAATCACCAATTTTACCTAATTAAGATTTCCTGACTTGAAGATCATATTCTTCTAAGGTTAGAACATCATTCTGAATAGCTCAAGCTAGTTCGAGATTATCAGTCTGCAATTAAGTTATGGTTGTTGATTTGGTTCTCTTAATCTGTTATTATGGTGGTTTATGTTCTTGTATGATGATATATTCCTCTTGGATCTTCGAGGCTTGAAAAGTGAGCCTCCGCCTTTTCAATAAATTCCTTATAGCTACTCATACTCATAGAGTCTTTCAATTAGACTTTACCCCCTTTTATCTTTCGATATATTCACACCAATTTGAGGTAATCAACTTATCCTTGTTGTTCTCATCTTTTTAGAGTTTGTCCAGCAGTTGCATGTAGGTTTTGCTTCACCAAACATGATGTAGGTCACTATCTTCGTCAATCATAACATGATATGTGAACATTGGGTCTTCCACCTACTTATTGACTATTTCGGCTTCCATGATGGAAAGTCACTAGCATAGTGTATTACTAAGCGACATTTTCAGTATTTTGGATAGCTTTTAGGTCATTTTTTAAAAAAGGTATATTCAGGTGAAACCTGACATCATAATCTTATATTTTCTGATCGATTTTAACATCTTTTTTTCCAAAAAGATTAAAAAATTAATCCACATTCCTTTTCTAGTAATTTCAATCCTTGGGGTCTATAATCAAGGGAGTTCCCAGTATCTTAAATTTAGCCACTTCATATCTTCTTCCATGTTGATTCCGAAGGTTTTCATATGTTCTTCTAAATAATCTCTCGGTCCATATTTATTCTGTCCGTTCATCTCTGTCATTCTCTTAATCATGGCTTCTTTATCTTTATTAGGATTGCCTCTCCTAAGTTTGTCTAAGAAATGGATAAGGAGGAATTTATCTTAATTGTCCTTTTCGAAAAATAGCCCACATATAGTCCTCACAAAGAGCCCTCCTTTCTCGGGGAGGGTTATTATTAGCAAGTGATGTACTGGTTTACATAATAGGTCCCCTACTCGGGTTGTTAGTCTATATCTTCTTCCCATGATATTTTAATTTAAAAAATAATATAATTATTAAATTTTTGAGGACAAATACTTATGCTGAAATTCCCTGAAAAAATTTACATTATTTACTCTGTCTTTGCTTCCTCCAAATTTTTAATTTTCAGAGTTGAATTTCATTTTTATTTTCAAACTAAGCATACTTAATTTATAAAATATAAAATAATGATATCTTCGATTCATACATTATTTCATCATTTCTAGATAATTGCATTAAAAAAATTAGTTCGATAAAATTTTATCAATATTCAATTATAAAGTGTTTTTGTAAAAATTTAATAATATATTCATAAACTATTTACCATTAGTCCATAAACTAGAAAAGTTACTCAAAAACAGTTTAACTGTTAACTATCAATAAAAATTAATTGATAAAAATATCACTAGCAAAGTTGTAAATATAGACCTTATTAATTTGACAAATATTATCAATTAGAGCCATAATTTGAAACTAAAATACATAGAAATTAATATTAGCAATTTATTTATATTATTGATATATTAATGCATCCCTAATGAATTTGATATTTTAGTATAATTTCTAGTTATTAGTATTATTAATTTTTAATTTTATAATACCTATTTTTATATTAATTAAATGATAGAATTAGAATGGATTAATGGTAATGACAAATAAAGGTTGATTAAATGACATATAATTACATT